TTAAAATCCTTAGAGGTATTAAAAGAGGAGAAGGCAGTTCGAACATGGTTCCAGTATGGGCAATTACAGGCCAGGTTGAAAATAGATCAAAAAAATTGGTTTTGTCCAAATTGAGGACAACTTATTTAAACAAATAAGAGATCAAAGTTTAATGCATATAAAGAGGATATATAATGTATTAATACAGATAGATTCGGAAACAGAGCTAGTTAAAGAACTCTCATTCAGAAAAAAATGAACAATTAATCTACCCACTGGTCTTTCATTCTGCACAACAATTGTCTCTGCTTATTTACCTAGATGTCTTTTAATCGGCCCTGGTTCACCATCATATTCTTATGAGCCTTGAAATAGCCACAAATCCTTGATTTCTTAGCATGACGAAAATCCAGCATTGGGGCAACATCTAGTTGATGTTTGCTAACCCTAAAACTTTAACTAAGGTCAGGCCTGAATTATTGTTGGACAGGAGTGTCTTGGGAAATTGCATTTAGCCTAATGCTAAATTAGGAAGGGTTTTTTTAAGTCTCCTGGAAGGAGACAATAGCAAATCACTTCTTTATTATTATCAAAAACTCCCAGACCGACACATCTATAATGTTGCTAGAGAATCAAGCTCAACTTGAAGGGCTTAACTAGAAGTCTCTGTTTTTCTGTCAATTACTTCTTTGCATTCTTTAGCTGCTTGATATAGTTTGCTTAAGCTCCATTGCCTTGCATCTGAACCTGGAGGTTCAAAGAAGTAACCAAGGTTACTTGGTTAAGAGGTTCAGAGAAGTAACCAAGACGTGAATGAGGTTGTGCCCTATAATCTCATCCTGATGATGCCCTTTAATGAAGTTGTGTAACTAGTCATTTGTCTCTCTCTCTCTCTTGTTATCTCTCCCAACTTCCTCCTCTGCTGTGAAGCACCTCAGTGTTCAAGCATTGCCCAACCCCTTTACCCTGGCATTCCAGCTATGGGATTAAAAAAAGGGGGCCTCCTTGCGTTGGCCACAATGCAAACTTGTGACCGGATCACACAGCCAATGTTCCCCCCCTTCCCCCATCTTAATTATTAGAAAGAGGAGGGGGAAAGCCCCGTGCTAAAAAGAAAGCAATGTCTTCATGCTCTAAAGAGAGGTGGGTATATGCAAATGAGCTCCCTTTTTAATAGCGGGAGGGTCTTCCTTGCCTTCTTTTGCCATCAACTGTTCAAGAGACTACAAAGAACGAACTGGAGATTTGAAGATGTCACGGATCTGGTTCCTATGGGCTGCTGTTTGGGCTCTCCTGGTTACTACCTCAGCTCAACGCAGTAAGTAGAACTCCGTTTTCTCGTAGAGATCAGGTTTATTTCACCCACAGAAGTTTGCCCCACCATAAACTATAATCTTGTGTGCCAGCTTATTTCCAAAAATCAGACTGAGCTACACCTCAACTCTGCTGTCAGGAAACCCCTTGAGTAGTATCTATTAATTTCACTTATGCACAAGGCATGATCTTAATATTCTCTGTGTTGGACTGTTCAAAAATATTCAGAGCTCAAGATTTAATAGCTGTCCCTTTACTGTGTTGTCATCAGCATCACAAGGTAAGTTCAGGTATATTAGCCCAGGAATCAAAGGAACACAAATCCTTATGGCACAGTTAGACCTTTAGAGGCATTTTATTTTATACACACACACACACACACACACACACACACACACACACACACACACACACCACACACACACACATATACACACATATACATATATATGCGTGCGTACGTGCACAGATGCCTTATTTTTTTGCATGCAAAATCAAGATGTCCATTGTTTTTCAAGCTTTCCTTTTTAACAAAAAATATTCTCAGGAAAATATGATTGTAGATGAAATTAAATTAGATGAAATAAGATTTGTTTTAAATAATATATATTACATGCACACACAATTCATGTGCGTCCATGGATCAAACTAGATTTGATTCCTTTCACAGGTGCTAATGTATGAATGGCAATGGTAGATTTTGCTGAAGGAACAGTGAGCAAATACTACACGCTGTGAGGGGCAATTAATGGAGAATCCAAGCCGATTCCTTGGGACATAGATCTAACCTAGAAAATAGTTTTAATTTAGAGGGCAACTTTGCAGAGAAAACCATCGGCATCAAAAGAAAGACTAATTTGCTCTTGTTTTAAAATTTGGATCAATTCTACAATATTCAAAATTCTTATAAAAATGTTTTTAGGGAGAAGTTCACCTCTCTCTACCCAGCTCATTACGGTGTGAGAAAAATAATGATGCTTATTTGCCACTCCAAAGCTGTCCTGGAACTTGGTTTAATTTAATAAGTTATGTTACACATACTCATTCATGCATACATATACACATAACTCTTGCAAAGCCAAACCTCGTGGTGATCTGGATTTTTGTCTAGGCAGACAAGACTCACTAATCCTCTTTTGTTAGTGCTTGTGGCTTGGGCTATGGAATGTGTGTGCCTAACTTGCCAAAGACTGATGGTGGAGAGTCTCACACTGCTTGGTCAGATCCAATTCTTAGTCACCCTGATTGCGTTGAAGTGGGTATGTGGGAGGAACCTCCATTTCAAATCTTAACAGCCTTTTAATGTTCAGCTATTAGTTGTGGTTGTGTATCCTTTGTTCTTTGTGAGTGCTCCCTTTCTTTCCTCAGGGAACTTTCCAGACATGGGTCTTTCATAGCAATTTCATTAAGAATTGGCACGAGCTAGCATTTAGTAGGCATGAGTCTGAGGAGGATGAGGAAAAGGGCCACCGTTTCGTATTAGAACATATATTTTAAACGCAGCAAATCCCAAATTCAGTTCATTCCATGATATTTCCAAGTAAAGATTTTTTTTAATTTTTAATTTTCTAAGTGGCTTACTGTTGCTGTCTTTAAGGATTTTTTTTTTTTGACTTTCAAATCTAATTTTAGTCCTAAAATTTCCTGGTGATCTTGCATTCAAGTACTGCTTAAGTCTGACCTTGCCTATCTCTCATGACTGAAGAAGATCAAACAGATGTTGCTGCCAGGTGAAACATCTTCAGAGAGATGGACAAACATTCTTCATGAATCCTGGGGAGAAATTTTCTGACCGTGAGAGCAATCAACCCATGGAGCAGAAGTTGCCTTCAGAAGTGGTGGGAGTTTCATCACTGGAGACTTTCAAGAAGAGACTGGACTGCCATCTATCAGAAATGGTGTAGGGTCTCCTGCTTGGGCGGGGGGTTGGACTAAATGACCTACAAGGTCCCTTCCAACTCCGTTAACCTGTATCTGTATCTATATCTGAATTTGCCTTGCCCAACCTGATACTTTCCAGATCTGATAAACCTCCTCAACCCCAATAATGCCCAGCCAAAACTGAAGTACAGCCCCTCTCAGCAGGTAGGGAAGATCAGTGTAGACATTGCTAAATGAAATGGCTGAATAGGTGTGAGGCAGCTTCTCATTTAATCTGGGATTGCTTTTGCAGTGAGTTCTTTCCATTGCTTCCTTTTTTACCAGGAAAAGTCAGGAGAACTGAAAGGGAAGTGGGAATTTTGTTTTGCTTGTTTTAAAGAGAAGTGTCTTGGAGCAGCCTGTGTAACTAATGGTAAAAACCTGGGAAACCAACCCATCTTCTCACATTTAGCAAATGCGATTCCCCCCCCCCCCATTTCACACTGTAGTTTCCTATGTATGTCCTCTGCTTCCCACAGGTAGTTTGGAACACCCTTCTCTAGGCTCTCTCTCTCTCCCCACTGCCAGTGATGTGGCTAGATACTAAAGACTTTCTTTTATTCGGCTATAGGTGCAGGCAGCATGTGACCGATCAGCCCACCCTAATGCTGGGGGGCTCATATCACATGGGCCTTGGCGGCCTCTATTCAAGCTCTTTCATGTGACTCTCAGCTGAGGCAGGCTTGTATAGCCACTGTGTAGTAAGGAAGGTCAGCCACTACAGGTCTAAAGCTTGTCTAACCACTTCTCTGTCCCATTTCCTCCTTCGAATAGAGGCTGATTCATACAACCACAGGGTCAAGAGCAGCTTCCTTTAGGTGATATGTCTGTGGAGATTCTCAGTCATCCAGGTCACGGTTGTCTCAAAGGTGCTTTTTCAAGAGGCAACTGGACTTTCCGTTTTTTTTTCTTTGAAGAGGTTTCGCTTCTCATCCAAGAAGCTTCTTCAGCTCTTACTGGATGGACCCATTCCCCACCATCCAGTCAGAGCTGAAGAAGCTTCTTGGATGAGAAGGGAAACATCTTCAAAGAAAAACAAGAAAGCCCAGTTGCCTCTTGTAAAAGCACCTTTGGGACATTAAGGTGATATGGGTGTGGCACTACACAGCTCTCAATTCTTGCATGCTGCCCCAGAAGCCTTCCAAAAATTGTCTTCAAATTATTATTTATTTATTTATCAAGTTTTAGTACCATCCATCTCATTCTCAGAGTTACAGAAGAAGGAGGCTATTTAGAAGATTTAAATGTATTAAAATTAATATCAATTAAGCAGATATTGTTGTTGCTATGGCCTACTGGAGGATATTCCTTGACCAAACTATTCAAAAGCCAACTAGGTTTGCACATGCTACCTTCGCTGCCGCTCTTATTTTTTAAATAATAACTTTGTTAAGTTTTAACATTATACATTAAAATACCAACTAACATAAAAGGGAAAGGGAATGACAAAACAATAAAGTGAGAAAAACATACTTCAAACAAATACTGGTACAACAAAAGTGATCTCCAACTTTCTTTTACTACAGGGGTATTAACAATACAGCAATCTTAGTTTAATGAGAAAACACCGTATATTATACCTTAAAATACTCATAAGTCTATATGCTAAAAATCAGCAATCATTAAATGCTCATCTCTTAATTTTATATAAATGATAGTAAGTTATCAAATATAAATAACCTTGTATTTAAAAAGCTGCAATATTTCTTTAGTCAAGTCCGTTCTCATTGTCAGAACCCAAAAGTGAGAGCTGATTTTTTGTCTTTATCCTGTAAGAAATCTATCAAAGGCCTCTGGGTTGCATGAAATTTAACTGAAATTTTATTGTCTCGGAGCAAAGCAGTCAATTTTTTTTTTGCCATACCAGCTAGCTCCCCTAACCCCACTATGCCGATGTTTAAGATAAGAGACCCTTGGTCGTATAGTGTTACTTCCTGGTGCTATTTTAGGTCACTTTTCTTCTTTAAGTGAAAAATATGGAAAACCATAAAATAATGTGACAAATATTACAGCTGAAGATTGGTTCTATGTGTCTTACCCTGTGTCTTTAGTATCAGACACTAAAATAAAGATTGTAGCATTCCAGAAATGACTTTGCACGTTTTGGGGAGAACCCAGCATATTCAAGGACCTTCACATCTGCGCACGCTCAGCATGAGAAGGGAAGGAGGGCGGCTCAAGATGGCCAGAAAGAAATTAATCAACAAGCAGAACATCCCTTTGCTGTCTATCCAGCTTTAATCAGGCCATAAAAATATATTTTGCTCAACTATAATCCATTTACGTAAACACTCACTTATGTTCATTCACTTATTCAGAAGCAGGCTTTGGCAGAATCAAGGTAATATATGGTTGCTATACATCCAGCAATGAATGATACAAGTGACTTTAATAGAGTTAATGTTATTATACCATGGCTCCTAACTTTATCTCTGACATATTAGAAATTATGTGGTGGCAAAAAGCAGGAGTATTTCTGGGAGACGAGGGCTGCCAAAAAAATTCCAAAAGGCATGTCAGGTACAAATGTTGTGGCCGGCATTGCTGCTGGTTTGCTTATAGGCACACTTTGCGCATGCGCACTGGATGTGTGCTGTGCGTGCATACACAGTTCAATGGAAATTGTTTTGTGTATGTGCAGAACTCCCCCCCAAAAAGATGACCAGTTCCGGGGCGTGGCCAGCCTGGGTCACTGCCGGTTCGGCGACCCAGGCCGGCATACCACTACCATTTTGGTTGAACCGGGCCAAACCAATAGGAACCCACCTCTGATCAGGAGTATACGTTAAGTTGCAGTTCAGAAGGTTTATTGCTTAAGCCAATACATGAGAATCTAGTCAACTAAAATTCAGTACTAAATTGACACCAGATAAAGGTCAATGGAATTCAAGAGGGATTAGACTGTTTGTGGGAAGGTAACGACTCTAGGCTGATGACTCATTTAACTCTGCCCCCCCAGCTTTGGCTGTTCTTCTCTTACCAGGACCATTGCAATTATGCATTTAAAGTCTGCCTCTTTTTCTATATGTTAGATGGGTGTTTCAACTGCATGGCTGTGTCTGCCCTCTGGACTTTTTTGACCAGTGCTTCTCCCCAACCCCCAGTGAATGCCCCCAGGATTAAATCAGATTTCTTTCTTCCAGGGTTCAGTGGCCGGAACAACAGATGGGGGAAAAACGGGAGCCGGAGATACTCTGCATACAAGACGTGGAACTCCAGTCTTTACCCCCGGTGGAAAGAAGGAGATGCCAGGCAGGGAAATTGTTGGCGAGGTACGAGATAAGTTTGAAGCAAGGACAGTCGGACTGAACAAGAAGGGGAAACAATTAGTTGAGGTTTCTAGGCCTCAGTGTTGGTGGTTAGGGTGACCATGAACTCAACTTGCAGTCCTTCTTTGAAAAGACTATCAAAGGCTCATCTTTGGGGTGGAAGCCTTTTCTGCCTGGCCTAAGTTCCACTTAACCATTAAAAACTGTTTGACAGCTTCTTTGCATCTGGATAGCAGTCTGTCACTTGGTCACCCAATCACAGGCATCCTTGTTGAAATGTACTGTGTCTTTGTTTGCAGTTATCCTCTCCTTTTCTAAATGTGCTTCTGTGGGGTCCTTGAGAACAAACCCCACTTCCTTCCAGCATTGATGATGTCCTAGTTGGGTAATGCAACATCTAAGCAAACAAACAAACAAACGACCTCCCCAACCAAGTTCAGAGAGCACCAAGGAGCCCACAGTTCATCCCTGAGCTACAAATATTCTCCTCTATTGAAATGTGCTTATGTTCTTTTAAGTTGTTACTAACACACTTTTTGCAAGCCTGTGCCCTCTTTTATCCTCAATAGCAGAGATATGGAAGTGCAGTGCCAGCTGTGGTATAGGTCAGAAACTTTGGACACTTTTTCCCCCTCTTTCTAGGTGGCAATGTCACATTTGATATCGGCAATGATGCCCCGACTTTAACAAGTGCCAAAGTCACGTTCAGGATTGCTTTGCGCTTTCCCAGCAATCAAACTGCGCTGCCAGATGGACGGGTAGTGTGGAGCCAGAACTGCATCATAAATGGTAAGCCACACCCATTGAAATGGGATGTTCCTGTAGGAAAACTGCGATTTCAACTGAGGCCTTTTGGAGAATTATTGACCACTAGCCGATAACCTGGTGTTACTCGGCTATTTATTTATGAAAATAAATGTCCGGACCAAATGTAATTTCTAATGTTGGTTTTTCCCCTTACCAGAGGGAGCCCCCTTGTGGAGTACTGTGAAGCCGTTATCATGGCAATTCCACTGCACTGTACACTAGAAGCTATTTTATGGCAGTACAGTAGAAGCCATTTTAAGGCACAACAGGCTGTATCTTAACAGAATACACACCCTGTGGGATTTTAGGTGTATCTTGCCCCCACAATATTTGTTTCCAGAGTCATCTGTGTACCAAGTTTGGTTGAAATTGCTCAAGGTGTTCCAGAGTTATGCTGGAATACACACACACACACATACACACATACACACGGACAAACACATATTCACTTCTCTATTTTATTATCTTATGCAGGCACTCGTATGAGAAAAGGGGACCCTGTTTACCCAGACCAGGAGGATGATGCTTCTGATTATGTGTTTCCTGATGGACAACCCTTCTCCCCAAGCAATCGCCGGCCTGGCAAGTTTGTCTTTGTTTGGCAGACATGGGGTAAGTTGCTGCTTGGACACTTTGTGGTGGTGGTGGGTAGTCCCACGCATTTCAGTCCTTTCCTTCTTCATTACAGGTAATCCTCGACTTACGACCACAATTGAGCCCAAACATTTTGTTGCTAAACAAGATCGTTGTTAAGTGAGTTTTGCCCCATTTTACGACCTTGTTAAGTGACTCACTGCAATTGTTAAATTAGTAACACAGTTGTTAAGTGAATCTGGCCTCCCCGTTGATTTTGTTTCTCAGAAAATTGCAAAAAGTGATCACATGACCCCGGGACACTGCAGCCATGATAAATATGAATCAGTTGCCAAGCACCTGAATTTTGATTGCATGACCATGGGGATGTTGTCATAGTCATGTGAAAAACAGTCTTAGATCACATTTTTCAGTGTTTTTGTGACTTTGGATAGTCCCTATACCAATGGTTATAAGTCGAGGACTACCAATATTCCAGCCTAGCAACTTATACAGTGTCTGACTCCAGTGTATACAATGTATACAGAGTCTGATTCCATACATTGCACTAAACCATAAGGTGGTTTGTGTTTGACTCATTATAAATGTTTGTTTACATTTCTTCAAAATATTTTTATGCTGCCTGTCATGTTAATGACATTTGGGTGGGGAACGTCAACAGTATGCATGAGTGGAAATAAAAGTAGGCAAATCAGAAAGCAAAATAAAATAGGTCACAGGTGAGTTTGTTAACCTGCAGTTAGCAGTTTTCAGGGAAGCGCTGTTTTGTGGAGAAAAGCAGCTCAGGAAGAAATGAGTTGTTTAAGCAATCTCTGCTCTGTCAGAGGGCAAAAAAGGGAAAAAAATAGGTTGCCATAGAAGAGAATTTTATCAGAATGAAAAGCAGCAACTAGTGACTTTTGCAGCATCTCTCTCTCCCTCCCTCCCTCCCCCCCTCTCTCACCCACACTTACTTAGTGATCATTTCACTTAGTCACCGAGTGGTCAAAACCAATTGCATTAAATGATGACCATCTGTATTTGCATTATTTAGCTTTGAGATACGAGTTTCATTACAAAATTAGTATGATTAGGAGTGTTTCTTTTCTGGACAGATGTAGATGATAGATAGATAGACAGACAGAGATGATAGATAGATAGATAGATAGATAGATAGATAGATAGATAGATAGATAGATAGATAGATAGATAGATAGATGAGAGAGAGAGAGAAATAGATAGACCGATGATAGTCATAGATAGATAGATGAAAGTTAGATAGATATGGATGGATTGATAGGTTGATATAGATGGATGGATGGATGGATGGATGGATGGGCGGGCGGGCGGGCGGGCGGGCAGGCAGGCAGGCAGGCAGGCAGACGGACAGACAGACATAGAGGAGGAAGGCAGTTTCCCTTCCCAACTTAGGAAGTGTTATGCCTACTATCTTCAGCCCTGGCATTTCTCCCATATTCTTTTTCTTCCTGCAGGGCAATACTGGCAAGTGGTAGATGGTCCCACCTCCTCACTGACCATTGAAACAGCCGATATTGCTTTAGGATCCTATACCATGAATGTGGCAGTCTATCATTACCGGGGACGGGAGAAATTCATCCCTATTGGTGGTGCCTCAACCCAGTTCAGCATCACGGGTAAATATTAATGGACTTGGCTGGGGACAATGCTTGATAAATCTAGGAATTATGTGACATTGTCTCCTGCCTTCTGCATGCAACCATTTAAAAGATATCCAAAGGTTCCATAATAAAAGTTAGAAAGGCTAGGTTGCTTTGTACACTAATTCCAGCTTTTTTTTTTAACAAAACAAATCTGTTGAACTGATAACAAGGCAGTTACAATAATTGTGGAGTAACCAAATTGGATTCCTGAGAGGAATGGAATTTGTTCCAAAAAAAGCAGCTGCACTGATGATAGCACTTAGCACTTAGACTTATATACCGCTTTTCACTGCTTTACAGCTCTCTCTAAGGGGTTTACAGAGTCAGCCGAATATCACCCCCAACAATCTGGGTTCTCATTTTACCCACCTCGGAAGAATGGAAGGCTGAGTCAACCTTGAGCTTGGTGGAATTCGATCTGCCAAATTGCAGGCAGACGGCAGTCAGCATAAGTAGCCTGCAGTACTGCATTCTAACCACTGCACCACCAAGGCTCTAATGTTACCTTGTTTGATAGTGAAACATTTGCAAGAAAACAACCAAGCTCGGAGAGCACCAAGGACCCCACAAGTTGCTCATTCTCTCCAAATAAAGTTTCCATGTTGATTCCACTGTTGATTTTCTGCTTCCTTTCCCAGACCAGATCCCATTCCAAGTGAACATTGAGCAACTTCTTGATACCGATGGGACAGATAGTCGTTTTGTGCGAAACCGAGCCATCTCTTTTGCTGTGCAGCTCCATGACCCTAGTCAATACCTCCATGATGCCGACATCTCCTACTCCTGGGATTTTGGTGACCAGAGTGGGATTCTGATTTCTCGATCAACCATGGTCACTCACACCTACCTTTCCGCTGGTACCTTCAGTCCTCGCGTGGTGCTTCAGGCTGCCATTCCCGTGGCTTCATGTGGAGGCAGTACTTCAGAAGACCCATTCATCATGCCTACCACCCTCATGCCTACCACCCTCATGCCTACCACCGCCCCGAGTGGAACTACGGTTCAAGCTTCCAGTGTGTTTTCCACTATAAATAGCATCACTGGGGCAAGCACTGAAGAGGCTGTGACCTCTGGTAAGGACTCATCTGCTTAGCTGATTTTAGCCAATATTCCATCTATTTCAAACTCAGGTTTCTACCAAGACTAAATGTACTTTTCAAATAAATTGGGATATAGCTAAGGAGTTGGCATAAATTCGTTTTGTGTCTAGAATGAATGTTCAGGTCCAGGGTAGAAGCGTTAAGAGTTTTTAACAGGAAGTTAAAAATGTTTTACTATAGCAGTAGAAAATTGAACAATGTTTTTCAACTTCTTTTAGAAAAAAAAATGGGATGTGAAGGGGTCCCCAGTCAATTAGCTAAAAGACAATTTTCTATTTTTCTAATCTTCAAAACCATTAAAAACTCTTTTTTATATGATGTAATCTCACTCTCATTTCACACCGGGAGATGAGCCCAAACAAAGATGTAGAAGTTGAGGGGATGCTTGTTGGTTTTTTGTTTTGCTGCCAATCTCACTATCAAGTGCCTCTGGGCACCTTATAATGTCGTAAATAGAAGAATAAAACAATTAGAAGGTTAAAATGTTTTTTTAAGTTGTGCATTAACAGTTAAAGCATTAACAACAAACAGGATAAAAAGGACCAATAGATAAATGAGGTGGAGGTGGGATTCCTCAGAATCCTTTCCAAGGGCAGCTGAGATTTGAAGAAGCTTCTTAAAGTAAATAAGAAAACCTGGAAATACTAAATGTTCCTGAGGTGAAAAAGAGTTCTGAGTTTATTCTGCTGTTGGATAATTTCTCACTTTGATCACACTAGAACACTATTCAAGTATTTTCATAACAAGAATGTGAACACCTGAAGCATTTATATCAGGGGTGTCCAACCTTAGCAATTTTAAGACCTGTGGACTTCAACTCCCAGAATTCCCTAGACAGCCATGTTTAGTTGAAGTCCACAAGTCTTAAAGTTACCAAAGTGGGACACCCTGATCTATATTCTGGTTTTAAAATCTTGAATCCACAAAAGAGCTTCTGAATTTTCTTTGGAGTACCATATTTTTTGGAGTATAAGACACACCATGATTTTTAAGAGGTAGATTTTTTTTTAAAAAGGTTTTGCACTCTGCAGGCCTCCCAAACCCTCTGCATGCCTTGTTTTTTGCAAAAAA